AAAGTTCTGCAACTCTTACTCTTTCATGAAATTACCTGAAGATGGGTTTTCACACTAGAGTCCGTTCTAAAGCTGTGCCGAGTGGGGTGAAATTATATTGCTCTTCGGAGAAGGAGTGAGCTGTCCAGTGATTAATGGTCGGAGGTGGTCTTGTGTTGTTTGCAGTGGTAATAGTGGCTCCTGAGGGGGAAAAATGATCATATGGCTTTCCTCTTCTACTGGGCTATCTAAAATACTGCATCACCAGGGTTGGGCAGCATTTAAAATTGGCTAATTCGTAATTCATGTTGGAATTTGCATTGGCCACGCCCCTCAGAATGTTGCATTAAAGTGACAGGAAGAGAAATGTAATTAATTTCAACAGTCACACTTTAATTCGCTTTTACACAAGATATGCAACAAAGTATAATTAATTATATCATTAATTACGTTGAATCTGTCAATCACAAAGTTCTATGCAACTTTGTGACTGAAAGAAGTCTTTTACGGCTACATTTATTTGATCAAAAATACAGTAAAAACTGTAATATTGCAAAATATTGTTACTATTTAAAATACATACATTTTCTATTCCTACATATTTTAAAATTTCGTTTATTCCTGTGATGGCAAAACATGAATTTCCAGTGGCCATCACTCCAGGCTCAGCGAAAACAGTTGTGCTGATGAATATTTTTTTTATTATATATTACAAGATTTTTATTTTTTTTTATCAATAGAAGGGTCAAAAGAACAGCATTTATTTACATTATAAATGTAACATTTATTAACATGACAAATGTCTTTACTATCAGTTTTCATCAGCTGAATGCATTCCTGCTGAATAAAAGTATTAATTTCTTAACAAATAGATCTTGGTTGGTTGGTTGGTTGGATGGATGGATGGATAGATAGATAGATAGATAGATAGATAGATAGATAGATAGATAGGTAGAGAGGTGCATATTCATATGTTTACTTAACCTGTTGTCTCACTCTAAAAAATACTGGGTGAAATATGTTGTGTATATAAATAGAGGTGGCATTTAAAACACATACATTTACATTTAGTCCTTTAGCAGATGCTTTTATCCAAAGTGACTTACAAATGAGGACAATGGAAGCAATCATAATCATCAAAAGAGCAATGATATGCAGGTGCTATAACAAGTCTCTTATTAAGTCACTTATTATAAAATAATTGTATTATTTAATATTATAAAACATATCCTTTTCAAATGAACGCAAAATTATCCGCAGGTGTCCCGTGATTTCAAGCACAATTCGTTCCAGAAAAAAATTCCTTAATTACCATTAGTTTAGAATTACAACTAAAGAGAAAAAACATGTGCCTCTGCTCCGCATGGGGTTTGCTCATTTGGTAAACATAAGAACAGCCTTTTGTCTCTTAACACGTGGATTCAAACACTGCTTAACAAGGTAATTACCCGGCCCACTTGTAACCCTGTCTGCCTCTTCAAGTATCATTCACTATTAACATACAGCAAATATACACAATGAGTCATGCTTAATTTGACAAGACATTTTGACCCCAGCTTCAAAACTGTCTTTAGCACTTATCATTACAGACAACTGTTAGAAAATAAATAAACAGATAGATAAATAAATAAATCTCTACATGAAACAAGAGAAAACAGCACTGTTATGATTTTAAATGTGACCCTAGTCAGAGTAGGCATATTACATAATTTGACAGAAACAAATATGATACAAAAAATGAATATATTTTATTGTTGTGTATCGGAATGCTTACAGCTTAGTTCAGTTTTGACATTATTTACACATCCGCATCTCAGCAAGATCACAGATCACAAAAGGAGATTTACAAGCAGATTACCAGCAAATAACTAAATAAAATACTTAAATATTTTGTATAATAAAATAACTCTGAAAAGATGTTCAACATATTTTATTTTACTTTATTTTTCAATTTATTTAGGTTTTTTCCCCTCATTACTGTACTCAGTACTGTTTCATTACTGTAGGAATATATTCCACCCCAGAAAAAAAATATATATACAGTATAAAATAGGTAATTGTGACTTTTTATCTCACAATTCACAATACAAATACTTATATAATTGTATATAATTGTTTATACAAGAAGATAGACACCGTTATCATCTCCGTGTAAACTACAAAAACCCAAATTTGTGAAAACTGTGATGTCATGTGCATACATATTACATGTTCAGTCTATAGTATGGACTATACACAGTATAGAAATGTGCATCTGCACAGGTGTGTAGTGTTTCTTTACAAAGTGACATCGCCAACTACTGGCCTGGCATGCATAATACAGCATTTTTAGGGTTTTTTTGCTGATCCTTGTGAACGTATGTGAAAATGTTCAAAAACGTACAATTTTAGTACAATTGTTGTGTAAATGTATCTTCCAAATTGTGAAAGAAAAAAAAAAAGAGAATTGTGAAGAAGAAAAAAATTGCAATTACCATCTTTTTTTTTTTTTATGTGGTGTCTAAAAATGCTTCCATGTATACAGCTGTTTATATGAGAAGTGGTTCACATGACTCTGGCCACCTTCTATGCTCATAGCATCTGACATTGAACCTGTATTCACATCCTGTATCTTATCTAATCTATAACCATCAATATAATAACCAGCCTTGAATGGGTTCTTACAATATGAGCCACAAATGTATTGCCCAACTGCCTCTATAGATCCTGTTTGACCAAGCATTCAAGCCCTGCAATCATGAGATTACGCCTGCATCACCACGAGGGAATTCTGGGAAGGGATTTGCTATTCATCCTTGATATTTACCACAAACTGGGGGGCTGTGTGTATTGTGTGACACATCTAAGTCTTCTTGCATAGATATAGAAGCATCAGAAAGCCATCCAGAGTGCTGGAGAGGACAGAGTGCAGAAACTAAAGCCAAGGCATTAGGCTGCCAGGCCCAGAGGAGCTGTCATTTACCAGCATTACTGATCACATCCAGGGCTTCCATTAGCCCATCTGGCAGAAGATCAGCTAGATGATCCAGCTCAGTGAATTAAGAGGTTGGATCATGAAGGTAGATCCAGTGGTGGATGAGCTTCTTGTGAACACATGCTAAAGGTCAATCTATGGAAGGCTGAAAGTATTCAGCTTCGACTTTTGGTCGGTATGGATTTCGGAAACGATGGGAAATGGGAAATGAAGTGACCGTAAAAGTCTCCTGTTGCCTGATTAGTTTGAATACTACAAGGTGCAAAAGCATGAGGAAAATATCTTCATAAATATAAATTTAGCATCATTCAAAAGGCAATTTTCCACCCCTAAACCTAACCTTCGATAGCAAATTGTTTGAAAACATACAAATGATATGTAATATGTGTGAAACAAATTAAAATGAATCAGCAGTGCTGGGAAGGTTACTTTGGAAATGTAATATGTTGCAGATTACAAGTTACCCTATTTAAAATGTAATAAGTAGTGTAACTATTTCAATTATTTTATTAAAGTAATGTAACTATATCAATATTATCTTGTCTAAATTTCTAATGAATGTTTTTCAACTGTTGATCATTTTCAAACATTTAAAGCAGGTGGGGTTAAGCTTAAAGTACTACTCAATACTGATTACTGTTAGACTTTCAAAATCCTTCATCACTTGAACTAAGATTATAATAATTTAATTTTAAAGCACAGCCACCACAAAATCAGACCTTAACACCTCTTCAAATCTTTGCATAACTATGTCAGAAACGCTGGCATCTAATAATGCCTTGGGAAAAACTCCAAATCTTAAAAATAATAAAACATACCTGCCCTTAAATGCCAGGAGGCATCATGCACAACAAAAACAACTTAATATTACAAATGAGAAACACATTAATATTATTTAGCGTATACTATCTTGATGTAACCCCCTTAGCAATTGTTCACATTTTCATAAGTAACTGTAAATTAATTCAACATTTTTCTCAGTAACTAAAAGATTACAGTTACATTTACAGTTACCTTTATTTTGTAATTAAATTACGTAACGGCATTGCATATAGCTAGTTACACCCCAACACTATGAATCAGTCACCGGTTCATCAAAACCTAAAAACGAATTGCCATGAGGTTGTGTTGGCAATTCACAAAAAAAATTAAAAATAAATAAAAAAAACTCACTTTAGCATCACCCTGGCAACCATCAACAACATCATTATTGTGTTCCACAAACCAAAAGTCATGAAAAATAAAGATGTTTATTTGTAAAGTTCAAAAAATGAAATGTGATTTAAAGAAAAGATGTGTCGAGGCTAAGCCAAAAAGTTAAATCAAATCCTCATCCTCATGAATTGCAGAGCAGTCTGCTTGTCATCTGGTGCATGGATAACAGGCCCTGTAAGAGACGGGATGAGTCAGCAGGGGGAAAAACGGAAGCTGTACTTTGAAGTTTTCATCTTGCCTTTCAGATGGACTAGTTACCCGAACTGACACGGGCTAGTTTGACTCAACTGCACACAGAGACATATTTTGATGAAATTGAATTACAAAGGAAGACTTTGCAATAATATTTTTACATTAAAATATGACTGTAAATATTTGTCTCATGCCAAATGTGCTAAATTATTAATTTAGAGAAAATATTAGTGATATTTTTTTAATGAGAAAAATCATCCCAGGATGCACCTCTCTAAAGACTATGCAGCAAGAGTTCAGTACAAGCTCACAAAATGGCTACAACTCTAAGACATTTTGCCATATTAATAAAGAGGAGTGTTACCCATATTTTGAATGACTGCCATATACTGTACATATACAAAAAAGTGACTAAGATATTGGCCTCACACTTTTGTGACTTGTAGTGTTCTAATCAGGCAACAGGAGACTTTTACAATCACTTCATTTCTCAGCGCCGATGGTTTCATTTTCTTCATCTTCTTAAAATGAAATCCCAAATCACATACCATTGTCATACATGAACAACAACGTGCAAACAAGAGTTTATCCTATCTTCTACTTGGGGTTTGACAATAATGTGACTGCTCTTTTCTGGCAGTCTCTGCACAGCCCCGCACCCGCTGGACCAGAGCTATCAGACTTGCACTCTAATTCCCGGGCTCCGGCCAGTAGACTGTCAAGCTCTGGCAACCTCAAATTTGCCTGGCAAAGACATTCGAACAAATGTTTCGAGATAAAGCTGATCCATTCACCATGTGACTGAGCACGCTAACAATGCTAACAACAACACCACAGTGTCCGTCGAAGAGTAACAGCCTTTAACTCGCCAATACCATCATACATAACCCATTATTTATAGACGATCAGTCACTGCAAAAGTTGACGCTCAAACAAACAAGTTCTCTCATGCCGGCTAACTTGGAAAAGATTATGACAACACTTCAAAAGGCTGATTGTTCAGGGTTGCGTCTGGCAGGATGTGTTTTGGTAAAGCCGGGCAGGTGTCCCATTGTAGCAGGGTGATTATTGCGACCGTGAGGTAATCCAGTCATTTGGACCGCAGGGAACGCAGCTGTACGGGTGTCAGCGCACCTCGGAAAACTCAGGAAAATCAGGGTGTTTATGCCTAAACTGAATGAAACCCAAAACTTCACACATTGGTAGAACATATAGAGACGGCTTCTGCATTTTTATTTCATTAGTTCTCATTACAGAATCCTCTCTAATATGTGTGAATTTGATCACACCTCTGAGGATTATCAATTACAGTAATTACACAGTTGATAAAATTATTGCAGCAGTAGTTTTTTTTTTTTTTCGTGACAGGAAACATGTATCCATATCCAAACAAATATCCATATTTCAAACGTAATAAACACTTTTCTCTCACTTCCAGTATCTGGCGTACGTGGAAGCTGTTCCGGCGAATGATGACGTAGGACGTAGGCGTCGCGTACGCGCCTCTCATATATGCTAGTCTGATATATGCGAGTTTGTTTACAGGAGCAAAGGAAGCAAAGTTTCCTTACTTTAGCAAAGGAAGACCAGTCTCCTCTTGGCTTATATCGAAATCCTCCGACATTTTTCTTTACAAATCCTCGGATTAGTGATGGCCGCTTTTGAAACACTGCTTCATGAAGCTTCGAAACCTTTGCAAATCAATTGTTTCGAAACAGTGGTTCAGAGCGCGTATCAAAAAGCCAAAGTCACGTGATTTTTGTAAACGAGGCTTCGTTATGTCATAACTGTTTCGAAACGTTTCGAAATTTCAATAGTTCGCCTTAGGGGGGCGATCTCTGTGAACCTGTGAATCATGCGAGTTCACTGAGATCGCCCGCAGCGGCGAACCACTGCATCAGCGTCTATGGTTATACGATCTCGGATCAGTTTGATCAATTTGTAGACATTTTTAATAAAACATTTGTGTAATTAATAGTCATCGTAGTAGTTAATAGTCTCTTACTGGCCTGTTTAAACAAGCTCTCCATAAAACAAACAAAACAAGCCCAAATAACAAAAAATAATAATAAGTATTTTAAAGACGCATAGGCCTATTATACAGACACTTCATTTTTAATAGTATTTTATTATTTTGATTAAATTTAATAAATTATACTTTAAATTAAGATTTTTCATTGGGTTTGTAAAAGCTGTTTTTATGCATGTTTTGATCTGAGTTTTTGTTGCATTTACACAGTTTTGACCAGCTTGCGTCACCAGCATGTGGTGTTTCGAGCTCTTCGAAACAGTGAACCATTTTGCGAAGCAATTGGTTCAATTGATTCGAAGCTTCGAAATGATTCGTTTCTCCCATCACTACCTTGGATTGTACTTCTAATTCATGACCGGCGTTTTGTTTTGTTCTCTCTCCGCGTTCGTCACTAATCACGCAACGGCGACATCCTACATCATCCGCCGGAACGGCTTCCACGTACGACAGATACCGGAAGTGAGAGAAAAGTGTTTATTACATTTGAAACATGGATATGTTTTCTTACAAAAACGTATGGATTCGCTACAGGAGGCCTTTATATATTTTATTTATATGTTTTATTATAATATCAATTCGGATTATATTCGGATTATCTAGCATTATTTGACACGTTGATGCATATTTTTAAGTATTTCAAATGGATTGCATATACAAACAATGTTTTTGACTGTCTTATGAGGCTTTCTTACTTTTAGACCAGTCGAGTTGGTTACAAATTTACATTCAAACGGCAGTGAAATTAGTCGTAGCACACATCCCTTCTAGCAACCACATAGCAATGTGCTTAGAACACCCTAGCAAAAACACCCAGAAGGTGTAGCAACTGCATAGCAACGTGTCCAAAACATGCCGTAGCAAACAACTACACTACCGTAGCATCTTGCACAGACAAGATCTCTCACATTTGCAAAAATCTAGCAATATAAAGAGTTTCCATGCAGCTACCTGTTTCTAAAACTCTAACACAATCTCTTTAGGGCCTGTTAGAAAGTTATTAAAGTGAATTTAGTGGCATTATATGAAAAAAAAAAAACTCACTAAGTAACTACCATAATAAATTACCAAAGCGGGCTGACCTCGATCTCTCTGTTCTGCATCATCACATTTTAAGAAAGAATCTCAGCGTTTGCACATTCCCTCCAAGATAATTCAAATAATTCCGGCCACATTTGATGAAATTTTTAATCAAGCCATTGCTGAACCGCACGATCCCTAGCTGTGTGTTTTGTCAAATCCAGCATCTCTCACATAGCACTCAGTTAATTGTTAGCATGCTTATGCATAAATTCAATGAATATTTGAACGCATGCAAATCGCTCCAAGTGCCAGATTCTTGCAATTAGGATTAGCATGTGACCCCTTGCTGTTCTATAACGCTTTGTCGATTACCTCACTGCATTACCAGTTGTTATTGCTAAAGGCTATTAGGTTATATCAGCGGTTATCTATCCAATACAATTATAGTTGTAATAGGAAAGAATAAACTCGGAGAGGTTGCGCAGCCTGGATGCTAATTAATTGTCTAGCTGGCCTCTCGAGAGCTTTTTATAGGCATACAAAAACACACGCCAAAAATAGCCATATAGCTTCATACAAAGCTTGTTCCCAGACTGTCCGTTTGAGTTATAGCACTCATTTAGATAGGAGCACTGAGGTATGATCTGAAACTGAGAAGGTCTTCAGCCGAGAGCTTTTATCAGACGATGAAACAGCCCAGTCCTGCTGAGTGATTCAGCATCCCGAATGAGAATTGATTATCGGCTCTATCTCAGCAAGAAATCTATTCTTGATATTGGCTGACAGTTCAATATGTCTGCGACAGGGAAAGGGAAGGATTTACTCCATATAATGGAATCCGGCCTGATGTTGAAAGCCAGAGGGAAATCTCAGACACAATGCTTCCTTTTGTTAGTGTTCTTTCTTAATTTTCCTTTCTTCATTGAATTGGGGAAGTGTTCAGCAGGCTTGTTCACGATACTAGGAAAAAAGAAAAAGACATAATGAAGTCAGTGAGACAGTGAATGGGTTTGAAAAGACCTCAGAGCTATTCTACGAAATGAGAGGCTTTTCCATTTTGCAAAAAAAGTAAACTTCTGACAGACAGACCAACGTCTTATGCAACAGATTTGTGAGAGGAACTGCCAACAAATTATTATTATTTTTCCCCCACCAATGAGCTCTTAACCATTTGTTAATGAACTCCATTGCTCTGAAATCTTGAATCAAATGCTGTATACTGTATTAAATGTTTTTTTTTAGTCTCTTATGCTCACCAAGGCTGCATTTATTTGATCAAAATACAGTAAAAATAGCAATATTGTGAAATATTATTACAATATTAAATACCTGTTTTGCATTTGAATACATGTTAATAAAATATAATTGATTCCTTTGAAGACAAAGCTGAATTTTCTAATATCTAATATGCTTATTTGGTGCTCAAGAAATACTTATTATTGTAAATATTATAAACAGTTGTGCTGCTTAATATTTTTATGATATATTCTATTCTGATGAATAGCAAGCTTAAAAAAGAGAATAGAAAAAGACATAATGAAGTCAGTGAGACAGTGAATGGGTTTGAAAAGACCTCAGAGCTATTCTACGAAATGAGAGGCTTTTCCATTTTGCAAAAAAAGTAAACTTCTGACAGACAGACCAACGTCTTATGCAACAGATTTGTGAGAGGAACTGCCAACAAATTATTATTATTTTTCCCCCACCAATGAGCTCTTAACCATTTGTTAATGAACTCCATTGCTCTGAAATCTTGAATCAAATGCTGTATACTGTATTAAATGTTTTTTTTTAGTCTCTTATGCTCACCAAGGCTGCATTTATTTGATCAAAATACAGTAAAAATAGCAATATTGTGAAATATTATTACAATATTAAATACCTGTTTTGCATTTGAATACATGTTAATAAAATATAATTGATTCCTTTGAAGACAAAGCTGAATTTTCTAATATCTAATATGCTTATTTGGTGCTCAAGAAATACTTATTATTGTAAATATTATAAACAGTTGTGCTGCTTAATATTTTTATGATATATTCTATTCTGATGAATAGCAAGCTTAAAAAAGAGAATTAATTTGAAATACAAATGTTGTGTAACATGTCTATCACTTTTAATAAATTGAATGCATTCTTGTTGAATAAAAATATTAATTAAAACAAATCTTACTAATGAAAATTACAGACTATAGAAAATTCAAAAATACTCCTATATATGGAAGCTTGTTTCAGAATAAAAAATAATTTTCCCCGCATAATTTTAAGATTCATCATTCTTTTTTTTTCTTTTTTTTTATATTCAGAATTGCAAGTGTATACCTTGCAAGATATAAACTTGCAATTGTGAGAACTAAAGTCAAAACTATGAGGGGAAAAAGTCAAAACTATGAGGGAAAAATACTTTTTTTATTTTTTATTCTGTGGTGAAGAGAAATGAAAAATGTTTTTTGAACATGAAAAGAAAAAAAAATTACGTTTTTTTTTCAGAATTGTGAGTTTACATCTGTCGGAATTGCAAGAAGTCCAAATCTGTTACTTATATATATATATATATATATATATATATATATATATATATATTTTTCACATTATATATATATATATATATATATATATATAACTATTTTTCACATACAGTATACCTATAAAATATTTATAATTTTTTTTTATATTTAAAAATACACCATCATCATATTTTAATATTAGAGTTGGTTCTGAAGTGATA